TCAGATGACTATTCCCACCAAACTGCAAGTTAGGAAATGCATTTGACCCAAATGTCAAGGTTCTGATCCAAAACTTAAAATCCTATATGTCCTAAATTGCAATAATTTTCTTCATTACAACTTTGCTTTAAGAGGGACAGCCTGCCTTTAAGAAGAGGAGGTTTGTAGCACCACATGGTTTGTGAAACACTATTGGAGTCCCCAGCTGATCAGTGTTAGGATCGGGAAGTAGATTGGAACCCTGTTCAGTCAGAATCTACAGTTAAGTGTATGAGGTAGATGTATAGAATTTGCTTACAGAATAGACTTTGAGTAGACTTTTGGACACCAAGCGGATCAAGGGAAATGGGAATTGAGAAGGAAATTGTACAAAACAAAATAGTAGTTCATACAGTGCCTCAATCCACTTTGCTACCCAAATTTCATGACCCTTAACTGGGCTAAAATCCAAATATCCATCCAGCTCTGATATGATGATATTCAATGACTGAGTATTCACATCCCTTCAGGATAGAGAAGTCCAAAGAATGACAAATCTCCGAGCGAAGAATTTCTTCCTCCTCTCAGTCTGGAGACAATCGTTCCTTTACCCTGAGATTAAGCTGCATATTCTCAATTGCCAGCGAGGGAAACATCATCTCAGCATTTATGCTCAATGCCAGGCTCGAAACATTACTTCTGCTTCTTTCTGCACAGATGCTGTCAGACCTGCTGAGATTCTCCAGCATTCTCTGCATTTGTTTCAGATTTCTTGCATCCACAGTATTTTGCTTTAATTAGAGTGTAATCCCTTGCTTCGTTAGTGGATAACTTCACACTTTCCCACGTCGAATCCCATTTCCCACTACTCTGCCCAGCTGACCATTCTGCTGATGTCCTGCTGCAATTTATAGCTATTCTCTTCAGTACTTAGTCCTGACCAAATTTTGTGTCATTCACAAACTTCCTGATCATATCTCCTGCATTTAAATCCAATCATTTTTGCACACCACAAACTGCAAGGGCCTCGGAACTGAGCACTATGGAACCCCAATGGAAACAAACATCCAGTCATAGAAACATCCATCCATGATGATCCTGATTCTCAACTAATTAACGATCCAATGAGCCATTTCTCCTTGGATCCTATGGGGTCTTACTTTCCCGACCAGTCTAACATGAGCAATCTTTCAAAAAGCCTAAAGTCCACGTCGTCCACATCAAATGCATTACCCTCACCCACATGCCTGGTTACCTCCTCAGAAACTTTGATCAAATTTGTCAAATTTGACATTCCCTTAACAAAGCGATCTTGACTACATCTGATTAATCCATGTCCCACTAAGTACAAATATATTCTGTCCCTCAAAATTCTTTCTGGTAACTTCCCTACCAATGAACTTAGACTCACTGGCCTGGCATTTCCTGATCTATCCCTTCCTCTCATTGTTTTAATAGTGGGGCAACATTAGCAATCTTCCGGTCCTGTGGCACCCCACCAATGGCCAGAGAAAATTTAACAATGACACAGCCCATGATATCTCCTCCATTTCCTCCTTCAACATCCTGGGATGTATCGCCTGCAGACTTTTCCACTTTGAAGGCTGCTGGACCTGCTAGTACCTCCTTTATATGTTAATTTCTTTTAATATTTCACAATTCCCCACCCCAATATCTGTCTCTGTGTCTTACTGCAATTGTGAAGACCTACCAAAAGTATCTATTGAGGACTATGTCTATATGTTCTGGGTCCACACACCGATTGCCTCTACGGACCCTAATGGCCCCTAGTCTTTCCTTAGTTATCCTCTTGCTCTTTATATTCTTAAAAAGAAAACATTTTGCATTTTCCTTCATTCTATCCACCAATGCTTTCTCACGCAATCTCGTAGTTTTCCCAGTTTGCTTTTTAAGTTGCCCCCTGCACCTCTCAAGATGCTACCGTCTTGAACCCTCACTGTCCACCATAAACTTCTCCTTTTTTCTTAATCCTGACCATTATATCCTATGACATTCAGGGTTCTCAGGTCTGGTCCCACTTGTTGTCCTTACAGGAACATATTTGCTCTGGACTCTCATAATTTCCTCCTTGAATGCCTTCCACTTCTCTATCACAACTTTACCCTCAACTAGCTGCTCCCAGTTCACATGGGCCACATTGTATCTTCCCTCAATAAAATACGCCTTCCTCAGTTTAGAACATTGATTCTCAGCCCATCCTTATCATTTCCCATTACTATCCTAAGTTATAGTCTCTCCCTCCAAAATACACTTTTAGGCTGCCAAGGCTCACTTCCACATATTCGTCCGGAACTGCCCCACCCTTGTTGGGCTTTCAATGCACTGGATAAAAAGTTCTCCTGATTTTCACAATCCTGACTTGAAATTATATCACCATTTCTTCATGGCTGCTTGGCCAAAATCCTGGAACTGCCTTCCTAACAGCGCTATGAGTATTCCCAGACAAGGCAGATTGCAGTGGTTCGAGAATACAGTCCACCACATCCTGACCTATGAATCAAATAATTTAATAATTAAACAAAATCTGCAGATGTCAGCACTACAATTGTGGAACCATAAATGCTACTTAGTGAATCGGGCACCTTGGCCCATTTCTGCGAGGCCCCAGGTGCCAATGAGCATTGGTGATGGCAGAATGGGCAGGAAAAGGAGTTCAGGGCAGTCAGTACCAACTACTCCACCTGGGTGGTAACTGGTCCACTGGATAAGATTCCCTGCCTATTATAAACTTGGCAGATTTTTCAATGCATTGATTGTTGGATTCTATAGCAGCTCAGTGACCTGCCATATCATATTGTCACCCAGGTAGTGAAGATGATTTCCACAAAGTTTGCCCTCCATGTTAGTAATTATGTGACCGGTATATATTTCCAGGGTATGGGGACATAACGGTGGCTTAGTGGTTAGTAATGTTGCCTCACAGCACCAGGGACCTGGGTTTGATTCCACCCTTGGGCGACTGTCTATGTGAAGTTTGCACATTCTCTCCTTGTCTGCGTGGGTTTCCTCTGGGTGCTCCGGATTCTTCCCATAGTGCAAAGAAGTGCAGGTTAGGTGGATTGGCCATGGGAAATTTCCCATTGTACCCAGGGATGTGTAGGTTGGGTCGATCAGCCATGGAAAATGCAGGGTTATAGGGATAGTATAAGGGGTGGGTCTGGGGGGGATGCTGTTTGGAGGATTGATGTGGACTCTGGGCTGAATGACCTGCTTCCACATTGTAGGGATTCTATGATTGGGCACTTTAAACTGCTAAACATTCATAAAATCTGTTTTTCTTCAAGAACTGCGCGTAGTGAAAGAAAAAGTAAATGTTTTCCATACAGTTTTCATCCTAAATAATTACCAAACTCAAAATTGGAGCATCCAGATTAAATAGATTAAAACAAGTCTTTAAAATACTGATAAAGCTCCATTAAACTTGAATTCTAATACTAACTCAATGCTGTACACAACCTTCATTGATCTCCCCCTGCTGCAGAAACAAGATGCAATAGATGTTCTTTGAAACGAATGCACACAAGAAACCCAGTTGTCAGAGTCTACCTTTCAATCTGTACACTTCCTTTGACTTCATGGAAGCATTCAGTTTTTACCATCAGCTAATTTAGTAATCACAACAGGTGAACGTTGTAGTGGCAGGTTTTACTTTTGACAATGGGATAGATTCCCTTCCGAGCGCCAATGGCACTGATGAAGAACAGGAAAATGACGCCCTATATTAAAAAGGAGGAAATCAGTTGAAATTCCCTACATTCTGAATGGTTTTCTGTGATTCCTATTTTAGAGGGCTCACGGATGTTGAGTTTGGTTAAGATACTTTCCATTGTCAAATAGCAGATCATTTAGACGCATACATGAAGAATGAATAGTTCAGCTGGTGGCCTGCACCAGAGAACTGTCGGAGATTTTGCTTTCAGTAAATAAACTAGGAAATTAAATCAGTTCTTATAGCTGTGATGTCCTTTGCTTTTATTCAGTCAGTATTGAATGTGAATGGAAATACAGCACTCTGCCTCATAGTCTCCAAGTCAGATCAATTTTTTAAAAATCCACTTAGGTATATAGTGTCTAATTGAGCAATAGTGAACGGACACCATTCCAATGTCAGGATACTTATTCAAGTCCAGATAGCTTAGGTGCAAGTTGGTTGACTGCCAAGATTGAAACTTTCTAATTATATGCATCACACTATTCAATTTACTGTTACAGAAATCTTTCTCCTTTTAAACCGAAGTAAAACTGTCATATTTCTAAACAACCATTCATGTTCACTCAGGTTTGCAGTTTCTCTTCATGGCCAGTTGACAGGAGAAACTGGTGTTGGCCTGATGCCTTGTGTTGTCTGCAAACTTGACCTTGACCATTACTTTTGGAAGATTTTGACTCTGGGACGAATGCTAAGCACTTGATTCATTATGAATTAGGCTGAACCTTTCTTTCACGTATGGAGTCAATGACAGTGTAAAAAGTCTGAGTAATTGCTTAGATTTAAACGTTATTCTACAACCAATAATTTGGAAACTTTATAGCTTCTACAAGAGATTTTATTTAGTTCAAATCCAAATAGATAGTGTTGGGATATAGATCGGCCGAAGTCTGAAAAAGCAAAATGTTTTGGATGCAGACCTTTAATCAGAAATCAGACATTTCCAGGTAAAGAATCGTTAGTAATTTGTCTTTTTCCTTTTCTAATCAGATATTTCCAGGTAAAGGATTGCTAAAATTTGTCTTTTTCCTTTTCACATGCTGACAGATTTGTTGCAGATAACCAACATTTTCTGTATCCAGTTCAGATTTACAACATTCGGTACTTTTTCTTATTTTTACTCATCCGACTTTGGCAGCAGAACAGAATGACAGCACGATAAAGAGAACAAAACTGTTTAAATTGCAACATTTTCTAACCTTGGGGCAAATCCAACCGGCCCAGCCCCCTTTTCTGTGGTTATTATGTAAGCTTATCTGCATCCATAGCAAGTCACAAGTGGAAAGATTCACACCAGTCGAGTACAGAAGCTGCAAACTCTCCAACATACATCAGTATGATGATGGCTCGAGGTGTTTTTAAGCTGCAATCCCTGTCTGGTGTGCTTTGTGGGAAATCATGGATTGTCGGAGCTTTGACAGTTAAAAGAGTTGTGGTTTGTCGGGCTGCTGTGAACCAACAGAAAAGATCCTTTTGTTCATCAACTGCATCTGAGGGCGACAGGTGAGGCAAAATCCTAGCTGTTTTTTTCAAACAAACTAAATAGACATTAGAATGGGAACATCAGTCCAAATAAAATTCGATCACTGGAATGAAATTTAAGTAAGCAAGTTTGTCCTCTTATTAAACACTGATATGGATATGGTGGAATCAGATTTCTGATTTTGTTGCAATCCCAAAGTTGGGTCCCAACCCTGCAGCATGATGGGATAAGTTGCCAGTGTGAGTTTTGTCTGGATTGGCCAATTAGAGGCCCGAGAACACACTTGCCATCCAATTGACAACAGTTCTCAAAGCTAGAGGGCAATAAGAGGTGGTCCAGACATAAGGTGTTACAGCCTGCTGTGCAAGTAAGGGAGAGAGAGAGAGGATGCTCCACCTTGAGGCACTCACTCAAGCAATTTTTAAAACCAATATTTTCTAATCAATCTGCCCGGAGATGTTATTACACACCCCTGGAGCAGGTAAGACTTGAACCCAGATGTTTCAGCTCAGAGATAGGGACGCTCCCACTGCATCACAAGAGCTAACAGTTTTTAAAACATCTGAACTAAAAATATAGGCCACAGCTGCCAGCTAGATAAAGGGCTGCCTGCGAATACAATTGTAATTGTTAGGCGATGGGGATGGGTGTGCTCCAATGTCTTCCTGGTAAGATGTTGTTTATATGGACACACAAGAAACAATGAGAGCCTGTCCCTGTCTGCCACAGACTGTAAATTTTACATTGTAACACCCATTGACACATGGTAAGACAGTCAGCCATCTTAAGACACAAGAGCATTTTGAGTTATCTTAAAAAACAATTCCTCTTTGTTTGAGACAAAGATAATCAGCAGAATGTTTCCTTGCCCATATTTGATCTAATGCCATGAGATTTCATAATGTTCAATGTCAACAATGAGGACTCCCAGGGTAACTCCTTCCAACTGTATGCTTTTGGCAGATTTGTTCTGCTGTGTTATATTCTGTCCTGTAGTTGTTGCTTTTTTGCTTGCTGCCTGTGGTTAGTCATTTCTGAGAAGGATTAACAGCTGCTAAATAAATGTAGGTCTGAGTTTATTTACTTCATATTGGGTATGAAATCTTGCAAAATACTTGTAAGAACTTCTCACAAGTAATAAGACAAGACCAAACTAGAAAGTTTTCTCTACACCTTCTTAAATAAAAGAGCAGTACTCACACAACGATTTAAATTGCACCCTGTAAGTGTACAGTTTTGTAAGAATTGTTATAAAGTGTTGGTGCTTTTCCAACTCACTTTTGTCGGCAGGGGAAGTGCATAAATCCACAGTTTTTTTTGTTCTGTCCCTCATGCATTTGTTTAACAAGAATGCGTAGTCACCCATCAAATGGAGTTGCTATTCTGCACCAATATGACTCTGTTATGGTTCCATAACAGCAATGGCATGAACTGTTTTTCCAGTGAAATTGGCTGAAGAACATCAGAGGAACTTTCTGCCCTTCTACAAATAGTACCATGAAATTTTTAATGTCCACTTAAAGCACCAGGACCTGCAATAAGGAATTTAGTTTCATATATCATTCAGAGTTTGTCACCTTTTACATAGCATCATTCCCTTTCACTGCACTGAATTTAACCTAGATTATTTCCTCAAGTTGTGTCTGCCAACACTCGCTTTCTGGACTTACATGCAAACAATGACTCCTTTGGAATAAAAGCCTATCTCTCTCTGCAACAGAGAGAGACTATAAATTTTACATTGTAACACTCATTGACACATGGGAGACAGTCAACCATCTTAAGATACAAGAAAGATTTGAGTTATCTTCAAAGGAAATTCCCATTCGTTTGTCACAAAGATAACCAGCAGGATGTTTCCTTGCCCATATGCCATAAGATTTCATAATGTTTAATGTCAATGTTGAGGACCCCCAGGGTAACTCCTTCCAACTGTGTACTTTTGATAGATAGACTAGAGGGTGCCAGTGCCGAGCATCCAGCGCCCACTGAATTATGCTTCAGTAATGTGACTGTATCATCAAGTCAGGGCTGGAGGAGGAAGCTAACACAACAAAAACTACACTGCTATATACATCAGTTATTTTTAAACATGCTTTAGACTTTACAATTTATTCTCATCAACTTTCATGAATTTGATGTTGATTTATGCACGAAGGACATAGTGACCATGGCACTACTGCTTGACTATGGGCAAATTTGACATGAACTGCCAATATATCTAAGAGGCAACCTTGCTGATATTGAATACATGGTTTTGATATGAAACTTATTGGGACACAAGGACAAACTTCAAAATATAACATATGTTTCACCTCGATAAAGAGTTACAAGTTGTCTGTATACTGATGTTGCAGTTTACCTTCATTTTTAACCTTCTCACAAATATGCCTGCCCTTGCTTTCTAATGACGCAAAACTCTTGTCATCATCTTCAGCTGTCTTATCAGTAATCACACTGATGAGTGTACATCCTGTTGTGCTGGAAGATTTCAGGCTAATTTTGCAATCTCTATATTGATGGCTAGCCTCACCTTAGCAAAAAGCACGGCACTACTGTGATAAAAATGCTTTCATTTGCTTCGGGTGATTTCGCTTCATAATGGTACAAATTAGTAGAAACCAGGTTCTTCCCTGGAAATGAAGCAACTTGTTTGAATAGAAATGTCCCATCTTGTGTCGATCTAAGCACCTAAAAGCACTGAACTTAAAATCAAATATCTTTGTGGATTATTGTTTATTTCCACGTTTGTCTCTTAACTTGAATTTAATTCATTAAAATCTAATTGTACAGAAGTATTTCTCTTTCTGACTTTTTCAATTTGAGATTTCTACCCAAAGTCATTCAATAGGCCAGACTGGATGATTAACAAAAAAAATACAAATTGCAGCAGAAGTCAAGTTTACTGTTAATCCTACATTTCAAAGAAGAATATTGAAGATCCTATTTGCTGTAAATGTAGTGTGTGCCATTTATGATGGCCACTTATCCATTTACTAGTTGGTAAACAAAAACAAAGTTGCGGGAAAAGCTCAGCAGGTCTGGCAGCATCTGTGAAGAGAAAATCAGAACTGAGGAAGGATCACTGGACCCAAAACGTTAACTCTGACTTTCTCCTCACAGATGCTGCCGGACCTACTGAGCTTTTCCAGCAACTTTGTTTTTGTTCCTGACTTACAGCATCTGCGGTTCTTTCATCTTTTTTTTACTAGTTGGTAAATCTGTCCAGCCTAAGAAATGGTCTCATAAATTCAAGAAAGAGTATATGATATAACCACAAGTCTTTCAAAGGTAACTAGGGATGAGCAATAAGTACGGGCCTTGCCAGTGACACCCGCATACCATGACTTTTTTTAAAGCCAAAATATTGTAACTATAATTTTCTATTTGACCTCATGACAAATCACCTTCATGCTGTTTAGGTAGGTAAAGATACACTCCATGTCCTAGGAAGTAAGGGTGGGGGTGGAGAGAATGGACTGTCTAAATGCATCATCTGAGATGTTGAGACAAAGAAAAATGGTTGGACTAGCATATGTAAGTGGTTAGCTCATTTGGATGGACAGCTGGTTTGGGACTCAGTGATACCAACAGTGTGGGTTCAGTTCCTACCCCACCTGAGATTACCATGTAGGACTCTCCTTCTCAACCTCTCCCTTTCCTGAGAGAGGGTGGTCCTCAGGTTAAACCTACACCAGTTGTCTTTCTGTGATCAGAAAGCAGCCTTCTGGAACTTAGATGACTTTATCTTACAAGTGATGTGACTATGCTTTTCTCATTCTGAATTCCCAGTAATTATAGAATTTAAATTAATTGCTGAGTGCACTTTTTAACTTTGGTTTGACTGGAAATTTCATTGTTTTCTTGTTTAATTCATCAACAGGTCAGATGAAAAACTGATGGTGCACTTCATCAATCGAGATAATGAAAAATTAACTGTATTGGCAAAGGAGGGTGAAAGTCTGCTTGATGTTGTGATCAAAAATAACTTAGATATTAATGGATTTGGTGAGTGTTCAAGCTGCAGAATGTCAGTCTTCTACTATCTCAGACAGCCAATGGGCTAAGTTGTGGTTGGAGATAACACAGTGTGGAGCTGCAGGAACACAGCAAATCAGGCAGCATCAGAGGAGCAGGAAAGTTGACATTTCGGGTTGCAAGAAATTTCTGAAGAAGGGTCATGACCCAAAACCTCAACTTTCCTGCTTGTCTGAAATTGCCTGGCCTGCTGTGTTCCTCCAGCTCCACACTGTGTTATCTCTGACTCCAGCATCTGTAGTTCCTACTATATCTGGCTAAGTTGTGGTTATAATTTTCAAACCAGTGCTTTAGACAAGTTTCTCCTGCTTGGATGGCCTTTATTTTTGTCTAAACGTAGTTCCATAGGCACCAGCCACCATCTTGCACCTTGCCTTGGTGGCCATTCTTCCCATT